ATTTGAAAGAGGGGGCTGGTGGAAACGTCTAGAGAGCACAGCCTCCTGCCCCTCCCCTCTCCTGTTCCTGCCCCTGCCCACTCCTCTCTCCTTCCCTCCCTCCCTCCTTTCCACTCTCTAGTTTCCTCTCTCCCTCCTTCATCCCCCTGCACATTACTTATTGTCACATTTATTCACCGCACCCCACTGAGCCCCTGCCGCGGTCCCTTTGGTCCTCTTCTCCCCCTTCCTGGCCCGGTGTGTACTTCCATCTCCCTCCCTCTTTACCCACCCTTCTCCCCTCTACCCCCAGTCTGCTGGGATGGGGAGCACGGACACACACGCCCCCCATTACAAACAGACCATCGTACACACACCACACACACAGTCACACACACACACCCTCACTCGCGCACATACCCCCACACAGCACTGCCTACCCACACCATCAGACACATCGTTGCACACAGGTACCATCACCACACACACTCATCACACTACACACACATCACACACCATCATGCACACCATCACATACGCCATCACACACCGTGCCACACACACACACACACAGACTGACACCCACGGCCTACTCAGCTCCCCTCCCCTGCTGTGAAGCAGGACAGCGCGGGGTGGCCCAGGGGCCCAGGTGGTCACTGAGAAGAAGAGCAGGGCTTTCTGCCTCACTGAGCGCCCCCGGGCTGTCACCTCAGCCCGTCAGCTGTCAGATGGCAGAAAAAAGAAAAGGCTCCCGGGGTTCGCGGGCCGTAAGTAGAACAGTTTACCTGAGGCAGCGTTGTCCGTGGTGTGACCTCGAGCTGAGCTCTCAGGGATGCAGCCTGACTGGACGCCAGCAGGGAAGGCGAGGTGGGGAGTGGCGTTCTGAGCAGGGGAGTGGTTGTGGCCACCTGGAGGCCAGCCTGGCTCCCCGTGGCTGATCGCAGTCCTGGTCCCTTAGCACCCCACTCGAGTCGTGTCCCCGTGGATGGACTCCGGGTAAGCGGCCGTGGTCCCCAGCGGCCCCATTTACCCAGATGCAGCTTGGGTTGAGTCAGCAAGCATGGCCTGGTGTCCCCTGGGTGCCGGGGCCCAGTCTAGATGTGAGGACGTAACAGTGGATGACACAGAGCCCTCTCCTCAGGACTCGCAGGCCATCGGGAAGAGGGACGTGACTCAGAGGCGTGGGGCACCGTGTGGGGAGCGCCCTGGAGAGGGCTTCGGGACGCCGTTCTGAGGGAGGCGTCCTGAGCTGGGTGCAGCGGGGTGTGTCGGAGCTGCCTGGGACAGAGCGGACAGGGCACGGGCATTGCAGGCCAAGGGAACCGCACATGCAGAATAGCTGCTCTCAGAGTGCAGAGTTTGAGATGGGGCCAGGAGGAGACAAGGTTGCATTCCCAGAGAAAAGGGAAATAGGACGAATTGGCCGAGGCTGCTGCGCTCTGCACGCGAGCCTGCGTGGACCGGCTGTGGCACAGTTGGAGCCTGGGCTCCGGTCCCCACGGCCCTCGGTGAATCTTTCCTTCCCTCGCAGACTCTGTTCTCTCTTCCACCTGCCCCTCTCTCTTCGTGGACAGTCGTGAGGGTCCAGGGCCCTCCTGGGCACAGACTTGTCTTACAAATGGCACAGTCGGGGACCCTGGTTGGCCTCTGGCAGATGTCAGAGCACCTTCAGCCTCTTTGTCTTGTGTGTGCTCATGGTGGCGGGCCCATTTCCCAGAGAAGGAGCCTGAAGCCCAGATTGTCGTGATGGCTCCCATTAAGTGGCAGAACTGGAGTTTGAACCTGGGGCTTCTGATTCCCCGTCTGGGGCCCTGGCCACACACCAGTGGCCAGGCCATTCCCAGGGCTGAGAGTACGGTACTGTCATCTGCTCAATTTCTCAAGATTCCCCAAACACCTGGAATTAGAAGGTTGGGGAAATGATTAAGATGCGTCTTCCTTTTCCAGGGTGGGAAGTATGGCCTCGCTTTGTAGTTGGCAGTGACAGAATCAGCTGCTCGTAGGGAGTTGGGCATAGTGGGCCATGGGCAGCCCAGTGTTCATCTTCGGTTTTGACTCCTCAGGGAGACGTGGGAGCCACTGGGCCCGTTGGAGCTCCTGGACCCAAGGGCGAGAAAGGGGACTCGGTAAGTGACGGGCTGCCTCTCCGTGTGGCTGGGGTGGGAGACACAAGGCTTTCCCCAAGCGCGCATATCACCTAGAATGCACTGAGCCACACCCCCGCCAACCCCCCTGCAAAATGGCCTCTCTCCCTGGGCTCGGGAGGCCTGTAAACTTGGCTGCAGCCGGCCACTCTGGTCCTGTCCTTTACCACTGCACCCCCGCCCCTGGAATTCTGCATGCCCAGATTGGCAGACGTGCTCCCCCAAGCTGGCCATCGCTCGCGCTGGCCTTTGCGCACGCTCTCCCCTCTATCGGGAACGAGTGTGCCCTCCATCTCCCCCCACCTCCCCTTCCCCTCACCCCTCTCTTCCAGGCTCATGTTTTCTCATCATTCACCTCCACTCTGAGTGGTTTCCTAGGATGTCTTCTCGACCCCCAGGTGACCCCCGGGTCACCCCCTAACTCTGTGCTCCCACATCACTGGCACTTCCAGCAGCAGCTGGCTCCCTGACGTCCTGGCCTGTGATTTGTCATCATGGTGTCCCCGGTGCCTGGCCTAGCTCGGTGTGTTCATGAGTGAAAGCAGTGGATAGTGGGTCAGAGAAGAATTACAGAGATGAACAAGTCACAGCTCAGAGCAGGTCTCGGGAGCCGAAAGTCTGGGAAGCAAATCCTGGCCCCACCAAGCTTCCCAACTTCTCTGTCCTCAGTGTCCTCGTCTGTAAAATGGGGATCGTTAACAGTCCAGTGGCATTTTGAGGAGTAAATGAGCTCATTCACGTAAACGAATGGAAATAGTACAGGGAGCAGAGCAAACACTATTGTCACTGTTGTCACTGCTGGCGTGGTGGAAGCACTAGCCCCCAGCCTCCAGCGTAGCATCATGGTATCAGCAGCGCAAGCTTGGTGTCAGATGGACCTCAGTACCTGTCCTTGGCTCCAGCCTTACTTGTTGTGTGATCATGATCAGGTCTCTTAACCTGTGAAAGCCTCATTTACTCCACTAGCAAAATGAAGAAAATAGCGATGATTTTGTCTGTAAAACGCCTGGCCCATTGTAGATGCTCAGTGAAGGACAGCTGTCTTTATTTGTGATTGTAATTAGTTCTTCTAGGGTCTCAGTACTAAGGAGAAAACCCCAGAGGACAAGACAAAGCATCTCCCCTAGAAGACTTGACCTGACAAATGCAGCTCACTCAGTGCCTGACGTTGTCACCACCCAATAGCTCATTACCATGGCTGCAGCATCTGCTCTCTTCCCAGGTGCCTCCTGTGGATTCTCTCATTACTCCTCATAATGGCTTCTTAAACGTAGTCTTGTCACTTCTCTAATGGGAATGACGCAGAATTTTCCGACTTGAGTGACTTGCCCACAGTCACAAGGCTGGCTCTGGCAGAGGCAGAATCAGATCCTGCATCTGTTTTAATCTGAGTCTCGTGCTCCCTTGCTGTACTGTTACCTTTCACCCATGCCGCCTATCCCTGCCTCCTCAGTATGGGTAGAAAGCACCTGCTCTGTGCAAAATAACATGAGAAAAAAAAAGTTGCTAACATTTAACAGCACCTACTCGGTGCCTGGCTCTGTGTCACATGCTTTACAGCACCTACTATGTGCCCAGCTCTCTGTGGCATGCTTTACAGATTTCAGGCTCATTTAAACCTAATATCAACTTGGTGAGGTGGGGTCTAGTGAAATGCCAGTCTTACACGGGAAAGAGAGAAGGCAGGCAACAGACACTGTCTGTGAGGGCACAGGTGTCAAATTCAATAGACAAAGCATCCCAAGTAGCCATTATAAGTATATTCAGAGAACTATAAACCATTCCTGAAGAAGTAAAAGAAGGTATTATGACAGTGTCTCATTGGGTGCAGAATATAAATGAAGAGATAGAATTTGTTAAAAGAACCAAATGGAAATTCCAGACTTTAAAATTGTCACTGAAATGAAAGTCACTGGAGAGGCTCAGCAGTAGGTTTGATGCTGGCTGAAGAGCCAGCCTTCTTGAAAACAGATCAATAGGGATTATGTAATCCGAAGTTCCAGGAGGAAAAATCATGAAGAAAAATGAACAGAGCTTCAGAGAAATGTGCCAGCTCATGTCTTGCACCAATGTGCACATGATGGGAATTCCAGAAGGGGAGAGGAAGAAGGAGCAGAAAACGTGTACAGAGACATAAGGCTAACGACGTCCCGAACTTGATGAAAATCAGTAATCTGCAAATTCTAGAAGCTCAGTGAACTCCAATCAAGATAAACACAAAGAGATCCACCCCAAAAAACATAATAAAAATCCTAAAAGACAAAGAGAAAAATTTGAAAGCAGCAAGGGAAAAAACGACTCACCACGTATAAGGAAACCCCAGTGAGATTATCGGCTAACTTTTCAGATTATCATCAGAAATGACTGAGGCCAGATTGCAGAGAGATGACATGTTCCAAGTGAGCATCATGACAGCGTGTTAGTGGGCGTTTAACATTCGTATGGTGACGATAGCGTGGAAAGGGAGGAGGAGGGAACTGAGCTGTGTAGGAGGATGTTTGTAAATCTCCCTGGAAGCAAGTTAGGACAGCCCTGAAGTACATTCTGATAAGGTGAGATGCACATGGGAAACCGGAGAGCAGCCTCAGAGAAAGTAATTCCAGAAATATGTAGTGAAGATATTACTAAAGGATTAAAATGTTGCACTAGAAAATAATGTAAAACAGAGCAGTAAAGGAGGAATAAAGGAACAACAAAAAGAGACCAGGGGACCTAGAAGACAGTGAAATGGTGCATGTAAAGTAATGATGCGAATAACAGTGTTGCACGCGAATGTGTTCGGCCAGTTAAAATGAGATTTTCAAACTGAGTATAAAATAAGCTCCTGGAGACGCATTACATACAAAGATACAAAGAAGTTGAAAGTAAAGGATGAAAAATACATACTCTGAAAATAGAAAACAAAAAATTGGAGTGACTATGCTAATATCAGACAAAATAGACTTTAAAACAAACAGAAAATTAATAGACATAAAGAAGGGCATTTTATAATGAGGAAAGTGTCAGTTCTTCAAAAATACATACAATTATATGTGCACCTAAAAATGGAGCCCTAACTCACGAAGCAACACCCGCCGAGACTCAAAGGGCTAACAGGTGTCTCGACAGCAGTGTTAGGGACGCTGACGCCTCGCTTCCAGGGCTGTCTGGGACAGGTGGGCACGGGGGCAGTCGGGGCCCTCGTGCGTTGCTGTCGTCCAGTGGTGCAGCTGCTTTGGAAATCAATCTCTCAGTCCCCGAAAGGTGAAACAGAATTGCCGTAGGACTCGGCAGTTCCACTCCTAGGTAGGTGTCGAAAAGAAATGAAAACACGTTCGTTCATACAAAAACTTGTACGCAAATGTTCACAGCAGCGTTTTTGCTCATAATAACTGAAAAGTAGAAACGATGCAAACATTCGTCCCATGATGAACGAGTGAATGACGCGTGTTGCATCTGTGCAGTGACATGCAGTGGCATCCGTGCAGTGACATGCAGTGGCAGCACAGCAGAGCGAAGGACTGACACACACACACACGCTACAACATGGATGAGCCGGAAAACACTGCGCTGAGAGAACACTGGCCGTGAAGCCAGTCGCAGCCTCGTCCCGCCGTCTCGTTCCTCACGCAGTGCCGAGAACAGGCGGATCTGTAGGGGCAGAAAAGAGATTAGTGTTTGCCTAGGGCGGGCCGGGGGGGCATGCGGAGAAACCACAAATGCGTCCGGAGCCTTTTCTGAGGCGATGAAAATGTCCCGAAGTTGACTCTGGCGATCATTGCACAGCCCCGTAAATACCCTAAAACCACTGGTTCCCACACTTTAAGTAGGTGAGCGATGCGGCCTGCGAATTGTGTCTCGGTTAAGCTGCTATGAAAATAAAGAATAGCACCATACTGTTGAGTCGTTGGGAAATTTAAACGCGATGACTCACAAGAGTCAACACTGAATAAGAGCTGTCATCTTTCTGAGGCTCCTGGGCGTGTAGTGCCCCATGGGCGTGGCTCAGTGTCACCTTTGCCTTCTGCTTCCCTTTTCTAGGGCCAAGGACCTTCCTTCCAAGGAGAGAAGGGTGAAAAGGTGAGCATCCCCCTTTTATCACACTCCTCCGGGGCTGCGGAGGGGGCTGGGGAGCAGGACGAGACCTTGGGTTTGGGAGGGAGAGCAGGTCTCCTGGGCTGAGTGCCAGCGCCCCGTGCGTGTCGTCCCCCCTCTGGGACGGGTGATGTGTGTGCAGGGGCCAGGGCTTCCCAGGCAGAGTGAAGGGCTGGGCACAACGCGTGGGGGAGGGCTGCGTTCGTGTAGGATGGCGGTGGTTCACGATGCTCTGAGCAGAGCTGCTTTGGGGTGCTCCCGGGGACGGGGCAGAGCTGCAGCAGCACTTTAGGGACCCGCACGCGTGGCGTTCAGTATCGAAACGTTTGCAGTGGCAGGAAGGCATCGAAGGGTCTATGTGTGGACGGGCGTGCGGAGGGTGTTGCAGTGGCAGGTGCCACATATATGTGGGGGGCCAGAGGAATTTGGGGGATAGTCGCAGATTGTTGTAGAGGTTTAAAGGGAAGATGACAGACAGAGCCACGTGTGGCAGCAGCATGAGAGAGGCCTGCGGGTGTCCCCCCCAGACCTGAATGGTGCCCCCGCTTTACCTTTATCGTAACGTGCACAAGCTCAGCAGAGCCTGGGCATAGGGGTTCCTTCCGGAGAGGAAAGATTTCTTCGCGTGTTCACCTACGAGGAAAAGTAAAAACCAGTCACTGAAAATGTCATTTCCCAGTCACACCAGCTCTTGAAAACATGGCTCCCACTTCCCGGCGGAGGCAGCCACCAGACTTGGTCATGCCCTGAAGCTCCCCCTGTGACACCACATTCAGGACCTGAAGCTGCAGGGTCACAGTTACACCCAGGGGGACCTCCTTACACATCAGTGCCTGGAGGATGGACGCGCCAGCCCAGGAAGCTCTGGCCCTTTCGGCTCTGTCCTCGGTTGACATTCTCTGCAGTTGAGCATTTTTAGCAAAGTCTGACTCCAGATCCTGCCACAAACTGGCTGTGTGATTTGGGGTGAGTCACTCCCCTCTCTGAGCCTCTGCTTCCTCTCGTGTAAAGTGAGGGGGCGGGCTGAGATGACACATAAAGGCTGTTGCAGGTGCAGCTCTGAGGTGTGGTCCTGAGCGCCCCAGCCTGAGCTCTCACCCCAACGGGGCTTCTGCCTTCCCTCCAAGGATGAGGCGAGGCCAGATGGGTCAGGGGACCAGCAGGGTCCTAAGAGGGGAGAAGGCTGCTGGTGACAAAGGCGTGTGGACAGGGCTGAGCAAACTGACTTTCTTGCTAGGATATTCTCTTCAGAGTGATGCAGAGTGCCAAGGTCAGGTCTAGGGGGTTAGATGGGCTGGAGCCCTGTGGCTTCAGGCATCAGGCATCAGCCTACTCTGTTTTGGCTATTTTTTTTTGTATTTTTGGTGTTGTGAATAACAACTGTGATGATGCGCATGGGCCTCTGTGAGGACCAGGCACCGTGCAAGGTGTATCCCACGCTTTATGTCACGACACAGCACTTCAGGGAAGGCGCTGCTGTGCCCACTTCGCAGATGAGAACATAACTCAGAGGTCGAGTGACCTGCCCAAGGTCACGCAGTGAGATGACGAGGAAACACAATCCCTGGCTGTTGCTCAAATTAACGAAAGCTGGAGAGGTGATTGAATCACCCCTTCCCCAGCAGCTGAGGAAACTGAGGCTCAGAGACGTGAGCGGCCCAAAGTCACACAGCTGGAAACTGCTGGAGGACTTGGCCTCCTGGCTCTGCCAGACCCCGGTACAGCCTCCCCGGGGGACCCCCAGGAAATGCCCAAGACTGTTGTGTGGCGCCATCTTCCTGGGCTGCCTGTGCCTCTCATTTTGGAAGCTAGCCCCCGCTCTGTTCCCCTCCCGCCCCACATTCACCGCGATGTCCTTGGGGCAAGTCTCCCTCGTGTTTTAGTGCACATGAAGTCACGCTAGGGAAAAGCGGAGAGGTAGCCTTTCAGGGGTGCCCCAACATAGCTGCTCACAGCCTTGGTGCTGGGGGCGTGGAGGGCGAGACGCTGAGGGATGGACTCTCCTTCAGAGTGTCTGGGAGACAGCTGGCATCAAATAAATGCTTGCCTAGTGAGTGGACGGGCGAATGGTCTGCAGCCTTCCACTGTCCAGGACCGAGAAGCAGCTCGACTCAGTAGAGGGTCACGGGCCGCGGTGGGGCAGAGCCAGCACCACGTCTGGGCTCCACGCCACGTCGACTGTGTCTGTCCTCAGGCTGCTCTGAGCCTCAGTTTCCTTTTCTGCAGGAGTCCCGCCGGGGGGGGGGCGGGGGCTGAATAGTAGTGGCTCCTGCCACATGGGGCTGGGAGGGCTCAGGGGCGGGGTTCGACACGGCCTGGCACAGCCAGCTCTCGGTCCCTGGCAGCGCTGCTGTTCTTGCTCCGTGGTGGTTTTCAGAGCCGTCTTGGTGGCGGTGAGGGAAGTGTGCAGCCACTGCCTGGGCTGGTGTGGAGCATTCGGGGCGGCGGGGCGGGGGTGGCCTCTGTGCACCCCCTGCCCTCGGCTCTCCCACGGTGGGAGAGCTAGTAAGCGCAGTGAGGCGCAGGCATAGGGTGTCTTGCGTGGGCGCCGAGTCAGTGGTATCGCACGGAGACATCGTCCGCAGATTCAGCTGGACCGCGAGCCCCACGGGTAGAAAAAGATTTAGAAACAGCAGCAGTTTCTAAAAGGCCAAGTGTGCAGAGTCCAGGGAGCCTCCCTGTGGGGCACCCGTGGGTCTGGCTCGCTCTGGGGGACCAGAGGCCTCACGGGAGGAGCCCCCCTATCCCGGACCCACAGTGCCCCCCTATCCCGGACCCACAGTGCCCTCTGGTGTCTGGAAGCCAGAGTGTCTGCTCCAGTCTTGCGCTGCAGGTCCTGCCCGCGTGGCCTCGGGGTGCTCTCTGCCGGCAGCTCTGCGGTTAGCCTCCTTTCCTGGCGTCCAGAAGGAAGGAGGGAGGGCCGCGGGAGCCTTGGTTTTGTGCTTGAACGAGGCTCAGGTGGTGGAAGGAAAGCAGGCTGGGGGCGGGCCGACCCGGGTGGTCCCGGCTGTGCAGTGGCTGGGCCATCTTTGGCTCCTGTCCCTGAGCCTCGGCTTCCACACCTGCGCAGTGGGGCCATGGACACCTAGCCCTGGCGCTGTTGTGGGGATGACAGAGGTTGGTAACTCCTGTCGAAGCACCCGGCTTGGTCCCTGTCACATGGTAGATAAAAAACTGTCCTTTGTCTTCATCCCTTTCCTTTTTCTGCCAGAGCTGTTGCTACAGTCTGTAAGAGTGACACGTGTTTCTTTGATAGGTGGCATTTACGGACCTGGCACGTGGGAGAGAGCGGGGGTTCACAGCTCTAGCCCTGGGCTGGCTCCCTTCCAGGGGCACGTCCACCGGTCAGTGGAGGAGACGCGCGTGCGCATTCTGGTCCTGTGGCTGTCTTTTAAGAGCGCGATTCTTCTTACTGTTCCTTGAGCGAGTCGGTCGGGTCGTGCCACCTCTGTCCCCTGTGCTGCTGCACATACAGAGGGTGACGACACTGTCAGGAGACCCTGCCTAGGCCGCATGGTGTTGGGGATGGAGAAGCAGACAGTCACGCCAGTAAAGCACCTTGGGCATTTCCTAGGGTACTTGGTATTGTGTAAAGAAAATGAAACCAAAGTGTGCCTCGGGGGTCCCCACACGCACAACTCGCACGAAGGGAAGAGCGAAGCCGACGAAATGGCCACAGGGAGACTCCATTCTTTCCAAGCGCCTGACGAACACAACGCGACAGGCGTGGGCAAAGCCTGATGGAAAATTGGGCTACACCAGCGAGGCAGACACAGGTGAAAATCAGGACGACCTTGCGCCGTGGAGATCTGAGTGCAGGCAGTGCGAACGGAGCAGAAGCACACGAAGGGAAGAGCGAAGCCGACGAAATGGCCACAGGGAGACTCCATTCTTTCCAAGCGCCTGACGAACACAACGCGACAGGCGTGGGCAAAGCCTGATGGAAAATTGGGCTACACCAGCGAGGCAGACACAGGTGAAAATCAGGACGACCTTGCGCCGTGGAGATCTGAGTGCAGGCAGTGCGAACGGAGCAGCATGTGTGCTCGCACGTGACAGGCGTGTGCGCAGCGTGCACAGCCGCGTGGTGAGGCGCTGGGCTTCGGTGTTCTGTGCGTCTTGTTACTTGCTGCGCATGGGATGCGCAGTAAACACTTGACAAAGACTGGACCTTCATCTTAACACATGAAAGTCCTTTTCAGTGTAGTGTATCCATAGTCGCTCACGGGCGAAATCCAAAAGCAGATGATTCTGGAGGGAGGAGCCCTCTCTTCCAGCGGGGGAGGTTTGCCGAATACTGGATGGTGTGACCACGCATGGGCCCCAGTGGCCGAGTGTGGCAGTGGCTGAGGGTCAGGTTTTGGAAACCTGGCATTGCCCGTCCTGCCGTGTGACTGGAGAGGTCATCACAGCTCTTGGTGCCTCAGTTTCCAGACCCGGACACTGAAGGTAACAGAAACAGTGGTACACTCTCATGAGGCTGGTGTGAGCGTCACGTGAGTGTCCGTGCGTGCAGTGGTAGACTCTCATGAGGCTGGTGTGAGCGTCACGTGAGCGTCCGCGAGTGCAGTGGTACACTCTCATGAGGCTGGTGTGAGTGTCATGTGAGTGTCCGCGCGTGCAGTGGTCCACTCTCATGAGGCTGGGGTGAGCATCACTTGAGTGTCCGTGCGTGCAGTGGTACACTCTCATGAGGCTGGGGTGAGCGTCACGTGAGTGTCCGTGCGTACAGTGGTACACTCTCATGAGGCTGGTGTGAGCGTCACGTGAGTGTCCGTGCGTGGAACTGGCGTGCAGTGGTACACTCTCATGAGGCTGGGGTGAGTGTCACGTGAGCGTCCGTGCGTACAGTGGTACGCTCTCATGAGGCTGGTGTGAGCGTCACGTGAGTGTCCGTGCGTGGAACTGGGCAGGGCACCTGCTAACTAATCACTTGAAAAGCGCTGGCCAGAGTCAGGTCTAAGCTGTCCGGGCCCCAGAGTTCC